ATATTTCATTATGTCATTTTATATGTATGCATAACAGTGTAATAGAATTTGTAATGAAATAATATAATGCCTACATCATTGCTTATTTTACACACCTTAGCTAGTTTAGGGTCTTTTGTACTTTCAAGTGAATGTTATAAATGATTTTATCATATCTGTAAAGAATGACATTGGGATTTGATGAGAACTGCATTAAATCTGAAGGTTGATTTTGGTAGTACAGCCATTAAAAATACTTTGGCTAATCTATGTGTATAGATATCTTTCCATAGAAACCACTCACCTCCCTAAGTAGGTTTATTTTTGCTTTTTTTCTGTTGTTTTGGTTATTACTGTTTCTTTCTCAGTGTGCACTTGATTGATATATAAAGATGACTTATTTTTATATGTTCATTTTGTATTCTGCTACTTTGATGAAAGTGTTGATCCAATCTAAGAGATGGTGGAGTCTTTGGGATATTTTAAATATAGGATCATAACATCTTCAAATAGGGATAATTTAAAATCTTCCTCTCTATGAATCACTTTGTCTTATCTTTCTTTCTCTGGCTAGCTAATATTTAAATCACTATATAGAAGAAGAGTGGAAGGATGGAACATTTTTGTCTTGCTCCTAACTGTAGGGAAATGTTTCAGGTTTTTCCTTTTTCCATCCATTTAGAACAAGGTTGGTTATAAATTTACCACATGTAGCTTTTTATTATTTTGAAGATAACCATAATCCTTTTTTGCTTCTTTAAGGTTTCTATCATGAATGAATGTTCTGTTTTTCCAAAGAACAATATCAATAACTTAAAAATAAATGGATAAGTCATTTTCACCATGAAACCAATGAACAAAATCATTCGTTTTCTTAAAAAGCCTGTTTCAATTTTTCCATTTAAATAAGTGTAAAACAGACATCTCCATGGCAACTGTATTTACTTTTGACTATTGCAGAGGTTGAATATTAGATAATAAAATTTCCCATTCATCTCTTTAAAATGCCACAAGCTTACCACATAAATTTCATCCTTAAATTCTTAATAGCAATACCCTAGGTGATGTGAAAAGCAGGATCTCACTCTTCAATAACACAATCATTGTAAATAAGTGTTTCAAATATAAGGAGACTTCAATGTAAGAACAATATAATTAATGAGGTCAGTTAAACATACGCATCACACACAGTCATAATATCCAAAGGAATACCCACAAGTTCAAATCAACTTGAATTGATTTAGGGGTTCCAAATTTGTAAAATTTCTTCATTGGTGATATTTCCAGGCAAGTCTTAGCCAGATAAATGGCAAATACAAATTGTTAAACAGGAACCATTGGAGCATCTGAAAGCATACACTTTATTTACAGAATTAAAAAAAATTCTATGTTGAATAATGATTTTAGGAAGTACAGTGTTTTATTGTTTTCTAAGTAGAAAATAGATACAAAAAGACAAACTGGACAACTAGTTATAAGCCTTGTATTGAATACTGGAAACTTTTCAGCCTTCTATGACTTCCTTTCTAATTTCTATATGGTTTCTAAATTGCTTCTAATGGCTGTGGGAAACAGTAAGTTTATTTACATTTTTAGCAATATCATCTGCTAGCAATATCCTCAGCCAACATGCCACAAATTCAAAAGGGTATCGGAAGTAAAAGAAGATACAGGAAAGAAAGATAAGAAAAACCCAGTATTTGGTTGGAAAGGTTTACATTAAATTTAGAAATATTGATTCTAGGGATGTGGCTAGCACATAGAAAGAGGAAGGGCTTAGTTTTCCAGTGAACTATTTGGAATTTGAACAGATATTTCACCACTACAATTACTTTACTTATTGAATAGATGTTTTACCTTATTTTATTTTTACGTATTTGTATATGGTTGTTTGCAAAAATAATCTTTTTTTTCTTTCTGTTGCGTATAGTAAGTGAAGTATAACTTATGTGAACTTAATATAATGTGTCCACTTCTCCCATCTATGGATTAAAAGTTAAAATTGCAGCATTTTTTGCCACTGACTGACAAACTCTGTGTCAAAGGCATCTGAGATTTCAGGCATCCATTAACAAATTATAAATCTCTCAGAACACACTGAAGACTATTTCCCATTTAGAAGCGATTTCCATTGTTCCTTGGGAGTTAACTTCATGTCTTAAGAAGGGCTTTTAACTTGTTCAGATGTCCTCACAGGTTTGTTCCACAGCCAAAGATGGAAATCATGTGAACCTATTTTCTAATTCATGCAGGTCTAGTCAAACATTGTTTAGGAAAATCCGATTAATTCTTTTGTAATGTGAATAACAAAATCTCCCTGGTTGGTCTCCTTGTTACTCTCCCCACACACATTTGATCTACATTACAAATAGGACTTTCTAACATCTTCGGTATTATTAAACAGTGCATGCTTCTATTCCTCTTGAATGCAGCATCTGATACTATCTGAGGAAAGTGCTGCTATGGAAGCAGGAAAGCTGAAAACCTTGTGCCTGGCTCATCCTTATGGCGCTCTGACAGTCTTTCTTGCACAGTTGGACACAGTATGGTGAATAGCCCCTCTTTCCAATTATATGGATATTATACTTGTCTTCCTTTCTATGTAGAGGGCAGGTATCTATGTATGTCTGATGCAAATGTGGGCTTTATGAATGCTAATTCCAAAATCAGCCAGATTGAAAGAAAACTGAAAAACAGGGTGACAGGCATCCCAGGGATCAGGGATCTGTGAATGAAAGGCTGAGTTAGGGGGCAGAGAAAGAGCTGGAGAGATTTGGAGTTAATCAAGAACAATAGCTAGGTGAACTGATCTGGGCCAGAGATCCTGGAAGGGAAGGCAGTTTAAAAAGTTTTAATAAAAACAATAAGGGTAAGAGTTTAGCTGACTTATACACAAAGATGGATAAAACTAAGAAGCCTGGATTGTACCCCAAACTGTGTCAACTGTATTCTCTGCCTATCACTTTCCTCCAAGTGTACCTATTTGCATCTGATCTGTGCCTTATAGAACATTGCTTTAATGTTTTTTGGGTGTTTTGTTTTGTTTAGTTTTTACAGTGACATTTTTTCTTTTTCTTTTTTGGATATCCACAGGGGACAGGCCCTCAGGCGATCATTAGAGAGAACGGGAATTGCTACTAGACTGCTGGGGAGATGAGGTGGATAACTCAAAAAGGGAACATCACTCATTGTTTCATAATTAGAGCAGAAGTGATGGAATGATTGCAGAAAAGAAAGGTCTTTAAAGCGCTTCCAATAACCAGGCAGAGCAAGAAAATGTCCTCTGGGGCTTGAATTGTAAAACTCTAGTTAAGAGCTACTAAATTTTCTGTATAGCCGCTACTTTAAGCCCAAGGTTGAGTAGACAACAAGCCCAAAGGAAGAAAGTATGTTGAAACTTTTCTAAGAACTGGCTTAGGTATTCAGGTGTTAACTTATTTTCAGGTGTTTGAAGGTGGTTGAAGGATTTCTATATTTCACTGAGTCCAGTGTTAGAAGTGAAAGCAATGGTGTGATCTAGCATTCCTATCTGCTCTTGGGGACCCTCTATCCATCTTCCTTGCATTCTATCTATTTTGTCTTTGTAGACTGCTTTTATTTATGTAAATGTTTTTCTGCAGTATGTCAGTTGAAGTATATGCCTCTATGTCCAAAATTTTTGTGTTCCAAAATTCTATGCAGTGTTAGTCTGTGAATATAATTGAACATAAATTCAAATAACGTTAAAATAGTCATATGTAGTCATCGATTCACAAAAAATGATATGTTGATTTGAAACAAGTGAAAATTTGCCAACATATATAAAGTTATATACGGTGAACAAAAACTAGGAAAATGTTGCTTTAGACCCATCTGAAATAATCTATTTTAACAATCTCATAATTCTAGAAATATTTCACTATTCCCATAAGAGATCAAGTACATTTTAAGTGGATTTTTAAAAGCAAAATAACTACTTCCATGTCATTGAATCTACAATCTTTATTTCAAGTTAAAAGCATTAGAATTTACAACTACCACAGATGTTGTTCACTTAAAGAAGTTCTAGAGATGAGCATATTAAAGGAAGATTACTTAGGGCTTTGGTGTCTAGAGGAATTATATGTAAATTGATTTCATCTTATTAATTTAAATCTATTATTTCCTGATATTCAATCAGCATTAGCCACAAAGGAATTAAGTGAAGAGGTAAAAAGCAACTTTTACTTATACAGATTCTTTCTAACATCTTAAGACCATATTCCTCAATTGCAGTTCTACATGAAATCTAAGAAAATAATATGATTCTAGTATGAATAATAAATACATGGATTTGTGTATAACAAAGATGTTTGAATTCTGTGTATCTCAGTATTCTGCAATAAAGGTTTTTAAGGTAGGTATGTTTTTGTTCATATCCTTTTATTCTAATGCAATGTTAACTAATTTTACATAGCATAAGTTATGTTATATAAATTTGTTATTCATAACCCTACTGCTACTAATAGAAGGGTTCTTTATTAGTATGATATTGTAAAATATAGAGACACTAAAGCCTACAAGTAAGATTTACTGGAAAGTTGAATTGCTCTGAAAAAGGAGAAGGAATAAAATATGATGCATGGAACTCGGGGGAAATTTAGGAAGAAGGGGAAAAAAAGAAAGGGAAAATGGAGAATAGATATCTACATCCTGGCAATTTAGTTGTAAAACATCAAGAAAGAAAATACTTCTGGAAATCTTATGTATTCAGGCACGGAGAGTAGGTTAGTTGTAAAACCCTCTGATCTTCCCTCTGGAATCTTTGGGAAAGTCTAGCAAAAGTCAAATGATGAAATCTTTGGTTGATTTTCAAAGGCTACTTTTGGTCCGTGGATGGTTTTGTTTAACTTGAGAAATTCCCATTAAAACTGACATTAGTTAGGAAAAAAATGAACAAGATTGCATGTTAACCCCAAGATTCCACTTTTGTGCATTGAGTTTACCTAAAAGTAAAATGATTCGAGAAGCACTAGAAGGAGCGGTTAGCTATCAACACTTACTGCGAGGACAATCTGGAGGGAACTATGAACCACTTCTATGTACTGGTACTCCAGAAAACACCCTGAGACTGTGATGTAGCGATGATCTTCTGGGGCCCAATCTGGGGCCGGCGTCACTGATGTCACTTTACATCCTGGTCCATTCTCCATCCACCATGATCGGTGCATTGAAATATTAAAAGTCAGAATAAGGTCTGTTTCCTGCAAGAAGGCAATTTATAAAGATGAGTATTAATTTATAAATGTTAGCTTATTTGGAACTGACTTGCATTTTTTATTTGAAAATGTGTCTTCCCTTCTTTTTCCACAATGAATGCTATGGGCAATAAAATAATTATATGTCAATATAACCTAATTCTGAATCCATGAGGATTCAAGTTACTTTATTATTCAAATTACTTTATTAAAAATTACCAATGATTTACATTAGCTATAATATTCAAAAACCACTTTTTAAAACACAGGTATTATAAAGAGAATGATTTAAACAGAACCACCAAGAAAAATTCTTCTATATTTGCTACACTTTTTCTCTTCATCAGAAGTGAAGAGGTACTTTTCACAATTTAGATCTCAAAGAAGTATTCCATTGCCAACATTTAACTTAATGTGGAGGCAGATTCCAAATTTTATAAAGCCTTTATACAATGGCCTTCAATTCAACTACTTAAGGATACTTGCAAAAATATCATGTAAGATACCAATAAAAACATAAAATAAAAATAAAATTTTGCAAACCACAAAAAAGACCTTTGTGTAATATAACACAATCATACTCAATTTTCTCTTTCTCCTACAGCCATCCCGCTATCCATGGTGAATTGGTTCCAGGACCTTTAGTCTGTGCAAGTACAAGAATTCAATGATATGCCAGGAGTTAATAGCTCATGACTGTAATTTCTGGTTTCTTAAGAGTTTCAGATCTGAGGATCATGGTTCAAAGCCAGCCAAGACAGGAAAGTATGCAAGATTCTTATCTCCAATTAACCACCAAAAAGCTGGAAGTGGAGCTATGGCTCAAATAATGCTAGCTTTGAGCAAATAAATCTCAGGGAAAGAGTCCAGGCTCTGAGTTCATGCCTAAATAAATAAATGCAAATAAATAAATAAATAAATAATCAAAGAGATTCAAGGCTCATATGTAATGCCACTTGTTTACAAAAAGAACTAGATTCTGTGAGTATAGAATGCAACAGTCATGTCAACTTCTACAATAAACTTAGGCTACTTTTGGCAGCAAATTTGGGTAGCAAATTCTTACAAGATAGAAATAATAAGTCACAAATTTTTTAGAAGAAGTTCACTATGATTGGTGGTCCCCTATGATAAATGGAATGTAAAGTGAAGATTCTGTAATCAGAGAACTTACAATGACATATAGAAACAAGAAACTATCACTAGTACATGGAAAACATTGATGTCCAGAAAAGGAACGGTTAAAGAATATGTGTTTAACATTATTCTATTACCTGACAAGTTATGAGAAAAGACAGAGGGGAGGTTTGTATTTCAGACTCAGAACAGTGATGGCCATGTGATAGTTGGAGCCAGTACAATAGAAGCCAACTCCTCTTACTCCAAATTGAGGACAGGTTGGCTAAGCAAGTGTCTAGATAATGCACTCATTACCTTGCCCATGTAATTGTATGGTATTTTCACAATAAATAAAAAAATGTTTTGCCACCTTGAACAAATTATATTGACAATATAATAGGCTGAGTTGAATGACCAGAGCATTTGGAGACTAGAAGTTAAGGAATTCTGGTGAAAGAAGCAATTCAATTTATATCATCATCTTCATGGTGGTGGTTGTTAGAATATTAGGGGCTGCTTTCTCTTTTTTTGTGAGTCTATTGAGAAAGACAAAAATCCTGAGACCCTGGAAGACACATTTAAATCAGTTTTAATACCTCACAATAAAGCCATTGCTTAGAGAGACCTGCTAAGTAACCAAACTAAAAAGACCTTGCAAGAAATGGGATGGCTCCATACAACCCCAGCTAGGGAAGGATGCTTGAGTGCAGGTGTAGACTATCATTAGGACAGCTAACATAAGGTAGTTCTCTATGTTTTTCAAGAAGATTCACTTAAAGGGAGGATGGAGTAATACCTGAATCTTTCCTGCTGCATATCCCCAGGCCTAAGGGAAGACATGTTACAGAGCAAGTGCAATGATATGTACTCACATTCAGTGCAAGTCAGTATCTCTAAAAATCCTAAAATGTTCATGAGAAAGAACGTTTTATCAACTTTCAATGCATGTTGGTACCTATGTAGCCTTCCTGCCCCTGTATTTCTTTTCGGTTTTTGTATTCCGGGAAAGAGAACTCTGAAACTTCAGATTATAGTTGTCAGGTGTTAGGTAACTACAGGGGAAAAGAAGTTAAAGACAGGAGAAACTAAATACTGAAAAAATAATGTTTTCCAATGGGAAGAGAGACATTTAATTTTGAATGATATCTGAATGTTTTTATTACAATGATCGATAGCCATATCAATTTCTGAACAGAGACTATCTGGAGAACAATACTGACTTCAGCTGACTTATTATTTCAGAGTAATTACAAAGTAGGAGGTTTTTCATATCCAAGCCTACCTATCCTATAGGAAAAAATGAAGAAACATTACTTCTTGAAAGCTTTATCATTTGATGTTTGATTATTGAAGCAAATTGGGAAAAGGCCCATTAGAAGAAGCAAAAGCTTCCCAAAAGACAACCACAGTGAAGATACAGTATAAGAATAGCTGGGGCTGGACAGTCCCGAAATAATAAATTTTGTTTAGCCATAGTTAGAGATTCCTAACTGATGTAGCTTGACCTATCAGTTAACCTTCTTCTCTGAAAGGAAATAATAAATGAACATGAAGTTCAATTTGGAGGATTTTATGAGACTGAAAGCTTAGTTATTTTCCCTCATCTTCAAGATTCGTTTTTCACATAACACTAGACATGCCAGTAAATAATTATGCATAAGTTTTTTATGCTGTGGCAATCATTATTTCTAATAGGAACCTAAAGCCTGGTGAGAAAATGGTTGTTGGATGACACATTATGTCTGGAATTGTCATACATTTTTCAATTAAAATGCCTCTTTTAAAAAATTTTCTTTGGTCACAGAACAGTTGGCCGCTATCATTGCAGACTTCTTAATTGTATTGACATAGGTTAACTTTGCTGCCTATTAAAAGTATTGTAATCAGCAGTGTTTCTTTATTTACTACTTATATCTTAACTATTGCCAGAATGAGAAAATATTCAAAATAGATTACACATATATCATTAAATCAAGAGGAAAGAATAAAAGTCAGTAATTGCAAATGAGAGTCAGTGAGCTAAACTTTGAGTGCTGCAATTCAATCCAGCACTAACTTATTTGTAATAGTAAGGGAGACACAGCATTCTTTCATTATCTATAGATGAAGGAAGAGTAAGAGAGCAGAACAAAAGGAGACTCTTGGGAAGGGGAGGAGAAGCTGGCCATAGTGGTGTACATTTGTAATACCAGCTATTTGGGCAGGAAAAGTAAAAGGATCCTGGAACCAAGTCTAGTCTGGGCAAAAAGTTAAGACCTTATCTTGAAAACCAGTCAAAGCAAAAAAGAGTGGGGAGTGGGGTTAAAGTTCAAATGTCAGATGCTTTTCTAAGAAGCATAAGGCCCTGAGTTCTAATCTCTATACTATACTGAAAAACAAATAAGTAATAGCACATTATACCCTAAAGATAATCTTTCTTTTTCTAACGTGAACTTCTTAAGAGGAATGAACCATCATAATTTTTATATAAGCTGTAATATATAGGATATCTTTGATTCTTTCCCCCAAAACATCATAGATACTGGCAAGTTTAATAGAGCTGTCTTTGATTCTTTTATATATAACTGTTTTGTCTCTTTTTTTTTTTTTTTGTCGGTCGTGGGGCTTGAACTCTGGGCCTGGGTGCTGTCCCTCAGCTCTTCAGCTCAAGGCGAGCGCTCTACTGTTTTGTCTCTTTGTAGGGATGCTGTTAAGTAGTTTACACTCAGGGGGACTAAGAAGTTGAGAAATGATGTTCTTTTAGTTCTGAAAGTAAAAATCTGAGCTCAAGGTATAAGCAGGATGGGAGGAAGGATCTGTTCATGCATATGATTGCATTTCCATTCTTTGGCTCATAGAAGCATTGTTCCTCTGCCTTCGTTTATCGTGAAAGCCTACCATTTTCCCCCAGTTAATAAGAAAATCAATCATATTGACCTACAGCTTTCTCTAATGACTTTACCTTAACTACTTACATCTGGATGATCCTACTATTTACAAATAAAGACACATTCTAAAGTACTTGAAATCAGAGTTTCAATATGCAGCTTTGAAAGGCAAAATTAAACCAATAACACAAACCTTTAATTTCTAAGGATTATTTCAGCATTTTTGTTGGGATGCTAAATAGTATGTTTCATTACTTCTTGTTTTCTATATTAACTATTATTGATTTCCTATTAATACTATAGCTTAAAAACAGCACTTATTTCCCACTAACCTAACAATAAAATTAGAATTATTTATCTTTAATTTCTTTCCATGTTTAAATACGTAATAAGGTACTTATGAAAGGCATTCATTCCTATTTGTTTGGAACTGTTTCCTAGTGTACTTACTTACATTTTACAAATACTATATTCATATTGATATTATTCATTTATCATTTAAATATTATGTAATTTTTCACTATGGAAAATATAGTAAATTACAATTCTTAGATTGTATACATTTTCCCCATTCCTTGCCATTTTACATAATTTTCTCTGAAATTTGGTTATATAAATATTATAAAATTTATTACTATATAAATATTTTCATGGCTGAACTGAGTTGTGAATTATGAGAGCAATTTCTTGTGGAACTTTTTTCCTCCTGGAGTTAATAATATTTTTCCCATAAAATGCTGGGTTTTTTTTTTAGAGCACTTTGAGGTTTATAGCAAAACTGAGCAGAAAGTACTCCTCTGGTTTCATATGCATAACCTCTCCACTACAAGCACTCCACACTAAAGTGTCAGATTTTGGACAGCTGATGTGTCTAATTGAATCACATTATCATCCACAGTCCATAGTTTGCATTAGTTTTTAGTGTCGGTGTGTTTTCTACGGGTACGCAAAGGTATCATGACATGAACCTGCCATGATAGAATTGTTCTGGATCATTTTATTACATTAAAAATTCACTGT